AAATGAATTTTTGAAAACTGAATAATCCTCCCACCTAGACACACATCTGTAATAAGTACTTTTGGATGGAAAAGGAATGATGGATCCAGGCAGCCACCAAATTCCATGATACAGAAGCCTCTCTAAAATGAACTTTTGAAAATTGAATATAAAGGAAAAGAGATTCCACAGTCACACAATGACAGTCCCCCCCCAAAAAAAAAACAACTGGACAATATATACACACACAAGCCTCCAGAAAAAAAAGGTTTGATTGATTTTAATTTGAAATAAAGTTAAGTCCTTACTTCCAAAGTAGCCTAAGTACCTGGAATCCCTCCCCAAATTCCCAGTAAAGTTGATGCTTGATGATAAAAAAGAAAAATATAAGTCTTTGCTTTGCTGCTGCAAAAGCAAAACAGCAAGAGCACCAGCAAGCAGCAACTGTTTTCACTCCAGAGAGCACAAACAGAAGTGGGGAACGGCCAGATGGGAAAAGCTTATACGAGGGGGAGCTGATAAGTATTGAGCCTTTCCCAGAAAAAAATTGAGCTAGGAAGCTGTAAATTGCAAGGTGTATTGATTTTAACTTATCTTTCATGTTCAGCTCCAAAGTGAACATGGCTGTACCTCCAGAAAAGTTCAATGTGGAACAGCATAGGACCATAATCAAGTTCCTGTTTCTCCTAGGGAAAGGTGGAAAGCAGATCCATGATGAAATGTCACAAACTATGGGTGACAGTGGCCCTTCATTCTGTGAGCCAGATATAAGAAATCTGGGAGTGTTAAAACACTCTTGTACCAGCAAGCATGAGATTTGACCATACACAGACTCAAGAGAGAACAAACGCTGTTTATTTTGAGTGGCCACTCGGGTCCCCCAGACATAAGGGACCCCGATCAAACAATGCAAAGAGCTTTTAAGATTTCTAACCACAGGGAAATAAAGATACAGAAAATATCTATTGGCAGACAATTAGGTCAGGGGGTTTGACTACAGAGTCTCTACCTATAGGATTTTAAGAGGGGCTGGTAGTTCTAAGTATTCCCTTGAGCAGGTCCCCCGCCCTGGGTCCTCCTAACTTGATAGCAAGCCATTACCTATTCTCAACAGGAAACTGAACAAACAGGCTATCTGTGGTTGGCCGATGTAAACCACAGGCTCAGCTAGCTGGGGCTGCAAACCATTACTTGGCAAGTAATGCACATGGAAAGAAAACAGGATGTTGGTGGTTGCTGCAAAGAACAGGTGTCCAACTAACACAGAGAAAGATAAGCAAATTCATATATGTGTTATATATCTGGTAATTTCTCAGAAGAATTGGGGCTTGGGGTCTCTGTGAAGCATCCTACAATCATTACTATCAGCTCACAATACACAACAGTTAAACATTGGGTTGTCAATTTTTAAACTGGCTATTTCGGTATTGAAAGTGAGAAACCCAGCGGAAGGCCTGTTTCTGTCTCTGTGCCTGCAAATGTGAAAGCCATCCATGACATGCTCATAGAGGATCACCAAATATCAGCCAAAAGTATTGCTATATATCTGAGAATATCACATGAGAGAGTTGGTGCCATTATCCACAACGACTTGGAAATGAGAAAGCTGGCAGCAAAGTGGATCCCCAAACTTTTGACAATCAAACAAACGAGGAAACGTGTGGAGTCATTGGTGGCTTTTTTGGAACATTTTGCAAGAATTGAATCAGATTTCCTGGGCAAACTGGTAATTGGTGATGAGACATGGATCTACTGTTATGATCCTGAGACAAAGGAACCGTCTAAGGAATGGGGGCACAGTGGTTCCCCCAGGCCAAAGAAGTTCCAAGTACAAAGGTCGGTGCAGAAGCAAATGGCAACAGTTTTTTTGGGATAAGAAGGGAGTTCTGCTGGTGGACTACCTCCAACACAGTTCAACTATCAGTGCAAAATATTACTGTGCTTTATTGATAAAGTTGAGGCAAAACATCAAGGAAAAACATTGAGGAAAGCTCTCCAAAGGTGTAATCCTGTTTAATGACGCCTCGTCACACACTGCAGGTAAAACAATGGCAAAACTGACATTCTTAGGCTTTCAAGAGATGTCCCATCCACCCTATTCTCCCGACCTGCCTCCTTCTGACTATTATCTATTCCACAAACTCAAAAAACATCTAAAGGGACGATTTGGGAGTGTTCTGGAGGCAGCTAATGCTGCAAATGAGTGGTTACACCCGAAGTCGGAAAAATTTTATTTGCAGGGACTTAAGAAGCTGCAGGATAGATGTCGCAAGTGCATTGACTTCCTGGGGGAATATGTAGAATAGTGTGGCAGTTAGAGCTTCCTAGCTCAATTTTTTTCTGGGAAAGGCTCAATACTTACCAGCACCCCCTCGTATGAAGCATCTGTAAAAAGTAGACATACCTTTCAGTGGTGCTATTGGCTGCCGGACATGCCAGCAAGCTCACAGAGGCCCCTCAAAGGGGTAACGCGTATAGACGAATATGAACAGATCATTGAATAAAACCGAGGAAATATTTGTCAAGCCATAATCGTCCTGATTTAAAATTTTACAAATACGGATTGACGAATATATGATGAATCGGCTATATTTGTCAGAAAAACTGATCCGTTTTTATATTCATCCCTTTTCTGGTGCATTGGTCATTCTTTGTGGGATATAGCTGATGGACTGTTTGGATAATACACAGTCCACTTTTTTTCTTTGACGCACCCTCTCCAACTGGAGGCAACGTGCAGAAGTAACAATTGTTGGTATGACGTATTGCCTCTTTCCAAATCATTGGCACTGCAAAAAGCATAGATTTCCTTTTTCTGTTCAATCACTGGGTGAAGATTTGTTGCACAAGTATTGCAGCATATGTGTGGGTCCCGCCTCTTGTCCTTATCTCCAATTTTGTAGCCAAAATAAAGCTGATAGCCTTTCTTAACCATAGTGATTATACTGCACTTTTGTGATGCAAGTTACTTTACCACAAACATAGCAGAAGTTATCTGCACTGTTCACACAAGTATGAGGCATATCTTCTCACTTTGGCTAAACAGAAATGTGTCCCTCAAGCAATGACAAATAAGAGGGTGCGATACTGCATGATTTCTAGGGCAATTTGTTCAGCAGAATGATGTAAGTTTTGTGATGATTACATCATCCATGACTTCTAGGAATGACATGATGCAATTCATAGCATGTATGATGCAATACCAGCTTCAGAGTGCATGCATCATTCTTGCCTGAAAAGCACTGTCCAAACCTAGTCATAGATTTATTCAAAGATCCAGTCAAAGGTGTATTTTAATTATTTATGGTTCAAACTGAAATCCCTTCCTTTTATAACTCACTTACTCTCTGGTATTCCCAAGTCAAGGGTCATATATACTGACCGAATAGCATATCTTGAAAGCTAGAGCCAATCAACAGTTTTAAGCATCATTTTCATTCTCAGTGATCCAGCATTAGTAAAGTTTGAGGACATTTGTTTCAGAAGTATTTTAGCTGTAAAACAGTGTATGATCATGTTTCATTCAGCAGATTTTCTAATACAGATATAGAAGATATTAGACATGGTCATATAAAGGGAAGGAATATATAATGCACACGGAATAGATTTATAAGGCCTGAACTATTAACACAAAGCAGAAAACCAGATATCCCTGCTTTTAACTTACATTTCAACACACACACAACCATTTAAAGTCCTGGAAATTATTTCCCACAAATCGAGGAACACAGCTACACTTCACTTCCTTATTTCCACTATAAGCCAAATATCAGCAACAAGAATCTGTCATTCAGAAATAAGCCAACATGAGCAAATAACCATCTACATGGAAGCGTTTTCTATAAGCAGTTACTTTAGCAAGAAATCTCTTTAAAGTCCTTCATTTTGCACAACACATTTATACTAAAATTTACATTTCAATCTCTTCTAAAGAATTTTATCTTTTTGTACAAGTGCTTAACTTTGGCACCCTTAATAGTCAGAAAAGCATTTTTAAAACATAAGTAATAAAGAAAAAAGATACTACTGCTTCAGCTCCAAAAGTTGTCTTTGTTTCTTGTTTTGTGTTTGAGATTTCACCAACACACTTGCTTTCAATAGAGATAATGAGGTAAGTTCATGGACCTATATTTAATGAGGATTTCCTGTCAAATACTTGCACTAAACACAGAATGCGTAGGTAAACAATAGGAAGTCCCAGCCAGTCAGTCACGATTTCCCTTTTTAAAGGCCAATTTCAATACAGATTAGATCTACAGGTCCCTGTTCATCCTTCCTGAATCCGCATACACTCCTGTTGTCTCATGTACAGATCTGGGCAAATCCGGCTTGGACCACAGAGATTGTGAATTCAGGAAGGATGAAAAGGGACCTGAAGATCTGGTCTTAGATGACAGCATCCATCCCTCCTTTCAAGTCCCACAAGTTTTCCAATCAGTAGCCATAAAACCCAGTGTTGCTGAGAGACCGAAAGTCTCTACCTTCCCTGCCGCTGACTTACATTACCTTAAAACGAGAACAACCCCAAGCTATTGTTTGCTTTTCACATCCCCGGCTGCCAGGATGCGATCTCCGCCTGTCTGCTGCCTTCCTATAACTAACTCCCCAACCGCTTCTCAGCCCTCGTCTCCCTGCATTTTTATGTACCTAACGAAGCAGGTTCGCACCTACCACCACCGATCACTAACAATAACTTAGTTAAAATCCGACCACGGAACGAGGGCATAGCATGAGCTAAGGCTCAGGCCGGACACTTATTGCCAGTCCCAGGCCTTCTCTCCGAAAGGGGAAGACCATTTTAAAGAGGGGAAAAGCTATCCCTTCATCTCCCTCCTACACATCTCTGGGGTTACGGGGAAACAAAAAGCCTCTCCTCAGGCCAGCCGTGGCCCTTGGACATCATTTCGTCCCTTATGCTCGGGCTACCAACGAGCTAAGTTAGGAAATAAAACCGCGACGGAGGCCGTCGCCCTTCCCTCCGTCCCTGTGTCGCTTCGGCGTGAAGGGGTCGGCTCTCTTACCCGGGTTGCAGTGCAGCGGCGAGGGCGGGGTGGAGACGGGCGACGAGGGAGCCGGCGAAGGCTGCAGCAGCGGGGGCGGGGGCGGCAACGGCGGGTCTTTGGGACCGCCGCCCGGCGAAGGAGCGGCGGGAGGCGGCAGCATGAGGTAGCGGTGAGGCGGGGGCAGGCAGCGGAAGCAGAGCGTGTGGAGGCAAGGCAGCAGCTTGGGCCGCCGGCTCTGGATATGTTGCTCACACACCCCGCAAGTGTCCAACAGGTTCAGGCGGGACTTTCCGCTAGCCCGGTCCGCGGGGCCTTGCCGGCTTTCTGCCTCGTTTTCCCCACCCATGGCGACCGGAGCGGCAGCTGGGCAGGGCCCCGGTCCTGCCGGAGACTCGTCCATTGTTCAGCGGCGGCTTCGGCACCAGGCACAAAATGCCTCT